CCCTCTCTACCTCCCTCCCTCCCTCCCTCCCTCCCTCGTTTCCTCCCCTGTCATCCACTCAGATTCCAATAGGTCCGTAAAATAGAGGATGTTCTGGGCTTAGCCCCCTGCTGAGTACACTTCAGCACCATTTATTGGAGGAGGCTTAGGTGGCTGGGGGCGAGTGGAGAACAAAAAACAACAGAGGCAGTGTGCGTTGCAAGCGCAAAGCTGTGGGCAGCACCATGTGCACTAGCCGGCGTGGGAGGCAAAGAGGAGGTGGTGTAACAGGCCCATTTAAGTGCTGTTAATCCTGGTGTGCTGGGAGAGGGCTGGCACCAAGGTTTAATGGTGGGCTGCTGAGAAGGAGAGCGCTGCGTTTACACACACACCATGCCTCCCACCCACACACTTGGGCACAGGAACACACTTACTTGCACTGAACTTTTATTCCGACAGTATGTTTATTGCGTGCATACACACACAGGGATGCAGGTCAGATACAGCTATAGGAACACACACATGAAAATACTATTAACTAACTAACTAACTAACTACCATCATGGGTCTCCTTTCTATATGGCTTTACTCCCACATTTAAAAACATTGCAAGTTGTGTGGGAAATGTATTATTTTATTTATTATGATTTTATTCTTTAGCCCTTTTTGCGAGGGAACTGACAAATAACCTGTGCAGTATTTTCTGTAAACAGGCTGAGAATGGATGCTGCTTTTCAGTTTCCTCCTGTGCCATGTGACTACAGTCACACTTCCTCTCTGTCCCCGTATTTGTCTTCTTCAAGGGCACATTAGCACTTATTATTCAGGGCTCCCCCCTTTCACCGATGGTCACGGAATTGAAAATCATCTCAAACCTGCTTCTCTTGAGCAGGTGGTCAGACTAAAAATAGCACTGTATTAAAAAATGTGAGAGGCTGCGTTGGCGTGTTGCTACAGGTACGAGTGAGAAGATGAAATATGATCCAGGAAGTCCTGTTTGATTCATTTGAAGGTTTGTCAGATGCCAAAACACCGCCCAGACGTTTATAATACTGCGAGACAGGATTTAAGTACCCTGCAAGAGTCTTTTGATCGTCACGAGGTGAAAACACACAATAGAATATCCTGTTCATGTTACAAAGTAGTCAACACAGTGTGCTGCTTAATGATGTTGCATTACAAAAGTTACATTTTATTCATTCTGAATACATCATAAGCCTTTGTCTATTGCCGCCGCCAAAACTCACTCCTTCTTACTTTTCTCTGAGTTGTCAAAGTGACACTTTGACTCAGAAGATGTGTTCTTCCCTGTTTCCCAGCACAGTGCTTTAGTCCAAATGTGGCTGATGGATTACTTGTTTTCAGTGCTGCACAGAGCAAAGTACACCACAGCCTTTTTACGCAGCAGCTAAGCACCTTTTGTTCTCCGTGAGGTGCTGATACTACCTATTCACTGCTCAAGTGTCAGAGTCAGAGAGGAGCTCAAACACAGAGTAACAGGACAAGACGTTCACCTCCGAGAGAGAGGGAGGAACAGGGAGAAAGAGACAGAGAGTAGAAGCAAGAAGAGCCATAGAGAAAGGCAGAGACAAGAGGGACAATACTCTGTTAACTTCTCAAATGTTACGGTCTGCGATGAGATCCGAAACACACTGTAACAGGACAAAACGTTCACTTTAGAGACAATTAGAGAGCGAGTGGAGAAAGAAATGGGAGCATCCCACTGTGTGTGCAAGAAAGATAAATGAAAGATTTTCTGTATTTTTCTTCAGAAAGAGAAGTTTTGAAGAGAATAAGGCCAGAAAGACCAAAAAGTGAAGACGCTTTATGTCACACACACATAAATACGTAGAGATACATGCTTCATGCTGTTACCTTCTTCTGTTTCTTAAACATTGGTACAAATGGTTGTGTTTTCACACACCCCTTCAAACATCCATACACACTCTAATACACTGCACGATATATAGTCACTACTACTTTTTGTATCCAGTGGACTCACATTATAGTGTTTCCCAGCCCTTTGTAGGTAGACAGCTGTGTAGGCGTGTGACACCTCCTTGTAGACAAGACAACAGGATATAGATTCATTAAAAAGTAATAAAAAACCAGCTAGATGTGACAATTGTAACAATAAATGTGGACAGTGATCACCCATTTGCTGTACACACTTATGAATGTAAAAAGAGTGATTTGCTCCATGTACAAATCGAACACCTGTTGTGGAGCTTCACTTTTACATCAGCTAAATTCTTGCCCTGAAGGCAGACACGCCATCCCATCTGACTTATATAATTCTCTCAGCAGTCACAGTTTCACATGTCAGATGTGCAGATGCAGACCTGCCGATGTGATCAGCTGTGACCACACTGCCCTCTGTATGTTGACAGGACAAGGGCTCACTCATCTTCATGACATGTTGGATGTTTGAGTTAGCCACTTCACTTCTCTGTGGCTGCCTTGTTTTCTTCTAATCCACAAAATCAAACTTCTAAACATTTGCGGAAGTTCATACGATCAGTCTGGCCTTGTTGCTTGCTGAGCCTCTCTGTTTTATTGTTCTTTTTACAAGGATGCAATAAAATCTGCCTGTTTAAAGCTGCCAGTGTCCGAACAAAACTTAATGCGGTGAATGTGGTGGAAAAACTTCTTACAGCTGGGGCAGGGCATGTATACGTGATGGCTAAGATTGGATAACAAGGGCCAGGCAATGTATTATGACCATGTGGGTCCTCATTAGTGTAGAAATACAAATGTTTTGGCATCTGCATCCTGTCACTTATGTTTGTGTCACCGTAGGAGTGTAAAAAGACCAATTCTTAAATTACCTGCTGATTTCTGGGAAGATTTCTGAAGGGCTTTCATTTCATTTTCATTTGTATTAAATGGTGCAATACAAATATACTTGAACTAAAATTCCCATTCTCCGCTCACTTGAGAGAAACATTGGGAACTAAAGAACATTTTAGTGGCAGCAGAGTAAAGAAAACAGATGTCGTCATGTAGTGTGCAGTCTGTGCGGCACTGCGGTGTTTTCTTTGGGACATACAGGGGTTTGTTCGCTGTAGAGCTCTTTCTTTCTCTTCTACTAAAAGCTGACAGTTAGATGATGACTGCTGTCTGACTGATTTTCTCTCTGTCTGTTTCAGGGTGACGGTGTAAATCGAAGTCCTGATTAGCCTAAGTTGCGTCTTTCCGTGCCTCTGACTGTTGACCGCCTCTCAACTGCTCTTTCTCTCTTTCTCCATTCATCCATTTTTAATGTAAGCATGGCAAAGTCTTTTAGAGGAAAAGAGCAAGAGGGGAGGGACATGTCCCAGTGAGCTACACTTTGCTACACATCTCTCCTTTTTTCTTCTTTCTCTGTTTGTCTCGCTTTCTTTCTCTTTTCTTGAATAATGGATAGTTTTAAACCAGACACACTCCTCCCCCCTTTTTTTGTCTTGATCCTCCCCCTCAATAAGACATCAGGAAGTTTCTGGACAACGAATACACAACGCGTGTGTCTGTTCAGTCTAATCAGCGTATCTTGCTGCCTCCCTCCTCCCTCCCTCCTCATCGTCTTCCTCACCTTTCCTGCCTCTTTTTCAGTCTGTTTTTCTTTAATCTGGGGGAAGAGGGAGAGATTAAGAGAGAGGGAGAGGGGGAGGTTTCATCAGGTGAATGCAGTAATGACTGAGAGACAGCGGGGGGATTATTGTGCAATATTGTCACGGGTGTTGTCTGGAGCCTGGATATACAAAGTGACAATATTGCACGATAATCCGTGGGTCACTGCAAGGTCACTGTTGGTTTTATGAAGGAGTTGCCGTGCCAACCAGTGTGACCGTTGTTTTTGAAGTGTGCACATATAAATACAAAAAGTCCAGTTACTGTCAGTGTTGGTTGCATATCTGGCATCCATATTGTTGTGTATAGTGAACCTGCCCTCATCCTGTTGATGTCCACGTGACAAGTGAGTTTGGTAGCAGGAAATCTACAGCATTCGATGATAAGAGCGAGTAGACATTTTGCACATATTGTTCCGCAGTCAGTCAAGGAGAAATTCACTGTTAAAACAGGAATAATTTTCTCATTGATGGTTGACCATTATCTAATATTCACAAAAATGTTTGATGTGTTTTCAGGTAGAGGTGCGAATGTCCCTTTTTGAAAACTGCTCATGCTCTTCACCATCACTCTCACCATCATTTAATTTACTGCTATCATTCCTTACTATCTGTTTTCACCACCTAATGCATATTCAAAACTGCATACAGGCAAGTTAAGAGGAGAGTGGGCAGAAGGTGACACAAAGCTTTAGCTCTGTGTACAGTCTAACTGAATTAGATGTTCTCTGTTTCAGTCATTCACAAGTGTCTGAAGCATCTTTACATAATGTACTTAGATTCAGCACAGAGTTAAACACCGCAGGCGACGGCTCTTGTTTTCTCTTGCTCAAGAAGGTTAAATGAGGTTGCGTTTTGCTCCGCTCCACTGACTGTCATCCGGAGAAAATGCCATTCCACCTGGTTTGAACGGCAATTGAAGAACACAAAAGTAGGATAAATGTGGAGAAAGGTCTGGGGTTCACTGACAAACTGGACAGCAGCGAAAAATAGGGCACACCCAGATAGACAAGGCAGGCAGACACGCACACACATTTCAGCCAGTGTTACCTCCTCTGGCCTCTCTTGGCTTACCGTGCCGTGCCATGTCGTGCCAAGCCGTGTGTTGTGATGCGTGGTCTAGTGGGGCTAACGGAAGCACATGTGTTGTCTGCTAACTCTGATTAATGTAACAGACTATACTCCCCCTTCTCTCTCTGGCTGTTTTTGTTTCACTGGCTGCCCTGCTGTCCTGCCTTCACCTCTCATGTCTGCACTCAGTCTGAGTTTCAAACCTGCGCCCTGAGAAAGAGACGGGGTCATTAAATTATAATACAGCGTTTCTCTTGTTATATAGTGCTATATACAGTCTAGGTTAAATCCGTCGCAGGGCTCAGGACAGCTCAGATTTCTGGCACTGAAGAGTCAAACGAGCTTCTATATTGTCATTCAGCTGTTGAAGACATACTATATAAATAAATGCTTATAGACTATAGACAGGTCATTACACTCCTCCATCTGAACACGTTATATATAACCCAGCTTACACTGACTAACATTGGTTCAGTTAGCTATGCAGCTGTGACATAACGCAGTAAGCGGGTGTAAATATGAGGTAACAAGTCATTTCTTAGAAGTAAGAAGTCTGGTGGGGTGCAACCCATTTTAATTTAATAGTATGTAAGTTTCCACTTTGTTACAACCAGGCTAAATCTGAATAAAATTCAAGTAGGTGTCTTTCTCCAGCGATCCTCATGTTGACTGTGAAGAGCCGCCTAACTGCAGTGGGTCAGTTGTGGAGACGAGTGACGAGTGTAGCTAACTTTTAGAAAATACATTAAGACAAGAAGACTCCTGCCGCCACAGAACAAAATGGACAAAGGCAGTCTTCTGCCCTCTGCCTGCTCCTCAGGCTAGTTGTTTGTTGTTGTGTATGCTGTGCCGTGCTGTGCCGTGCCATGCCGTGCTGTGCCTCGCCCTGTGTTTGGATGTGATGTGATGCGTGGCCAAGTGCCGGTCGAGGCAGCCATAGGTGATTCTTTCCCTGCCACTGCCCTTTTCCCTGCTTCCACGCAAAGGAGCAAGTGAGGTAGGCGGCCGGGCAAACGGGGAAGGGAAGGTGAGGAAAGAGAAGATATGCAAACGGGAGGACAGCCAGTCAGCAGACAAACATGCAACCCTGGATTATACCCCCCTCCATGCCCTCACTTTATTATGCTCCCTCATTTTTAAACTACCCCCATGGTTCGTTCACCCCCTCCTTGTACTCTGTCTGCTCTGCTGACTTTGTCCTGACTTTCTTGTGACTGATTATTTCAACCTCTGCTGCTGTCTGCATGCGCACATCTGCGTATGTGTCTGAGTGATTGAATGTGGATTCCTCTGTGCTACTCTTCCATACAAACATACACAACACAGACACTGGCCATCTCACACTCTCTGATTCATCCACTTCACTGTACAGTATGCCCCTGATCTGTCTGCCCCCTCCCTTCTCTCCTCTCTGATATACTCGCATGCCTCT